GCCACATTGAAAAACAAGGAACTCATGCAATATTATTGAAAATGGGTGACTCTGGAGGACATTATGCTGAGTGAAATACCTCAGTCACAAAGGGACTAATACCGCATGGTGCCACTGTTGTAAAATGGGACTGATATCAGGGTTGGGATAAGACTGAAAAAAACTGAATAAATTGTGTATATTGTATTGAAACAGATGAGGGAAAGAACAGATTAGAGGTGATATATGATTGAGTATTATGGTTAGCACTGGAATCGAGAATTAAGGTTGTATAGAGAAGTGTACTCGGGGTGGGGGGTGGGAGGGAAAGGGATGGGGGAATTGTATACTGATGAAGGAATTTTTTTTTCTTTTTCTTTTTGGAGAGGGGAACGACCTGTTGGGGAGGGGTGGGCAGGGAGAAAACTGCGGCAATAAATGAATGGAAATCCAAAACCTCTGTAAATGTCTATTAAAATTAATTTTAAAAAAACCCCAAAAAACAAAGAATGAAGTTCTAATTAAGTTTGAAATTATGATGTATTAAGTGTCTGTATTTGTGTATATATAAATGTAAACCCCCCATAATTATAAAGGTAGTCCTTCAGAATGTAAAGACTAGTCAGTAATTTGAAGGCACAAACAGAACAAAGATCTTCACCAAATGTCATTTAATGGAAAAATATCAAAGCCAATTTAATGTTCTTTTTTGTTGGTAATAATAGCTATTTTTTTCATATGTTTAAAATGGCAAATGCAGGGGAAAAAGAAAAAAAACAACAACCAGGCATAAATGTGTTTAGACACATTATGTATAATGGTGTATTTAGAAAAACAAAAGGGTGAGGGAGAAGGAAGGCAAAAGAATAGAGAGCTTGTATATTACTGAACTTAAATTTAAAAATTTAAAATGATAGTTATAAATTAAACACTCATAATAACAATAAAATATCTTAAGATATAAACTAAAGGAGAGGAAAATAATTGCTTAAAAAAGTCAGGTAAATACAAATGACAGCAATATTGGAGCAAATTAAAGATAAAGATAGAAGACACATAAAAAACAAACAAGCCAAAGTATAGGTAAGTCACTCCTTATTAATTTACATGTATATATATTGAACTCAAGACAGGCATGGGCAGAAGGCTTTAAAAAAATCCACTTATATGGATCTCTACAAAGCACAAATCTTAGATCTAAAGACATAGGTATAAAGTGAAAAGAATGTATCTATGGAAGAAATTGAGTTGCTGTGCATCTCTAAGAGTTGGACAATGACTAAGGATGACAGAGGAATCATCGATACCTTCAGCTGTGGTGCTCGAGAAGAAAACTTAATATACCACGGACTTCCAAGAGATCAATCAGGTCTGTCTCTTGGAGAGAGGGATGCCAGGTTGCTTCTTGGAGGTTGTTGTTGTTACGTGCCATCGAGTCGTCTGCGACTCATAGCTCCCCTATGTACAAGAGCCCTAAATGCCGTTCTATCCTGTGCCAACCTCGCTGTCTCCAACACATTCGTTCCCATCACTACACTCACAGAATCGATCCATCTCATCAAGGCTCTTCCTCTCCTGCATCGTCCCTCCACTCTCCCAAACATGATGTCCCTCTCCAAGGACCAGTCCCTCCTTGCAACATGCCC